GGTTTGATTTACCAGAAAACAAAGCCTCAAAATATTTAAGGCAGAGATGGGTATGAATACAAAGAGTGTAATTGAAAAAGTCACCTTTTTACACCTTTTTACAATTATCTCTGTAATTGATATATCAAACAGACAAAAAAAAAAAAAAACAATCCTCAAAACCCCCTTAAACTCACGGTGGAAATATCAAAACAGTATCACATTTAACACTTTATTCTCACCTAAGAGAACACTCGACCCAACAACTGGAGAACACACATCCTTCAAGCACATGTAAAATAGTTTCTGAAAAAGGACTAAATGCTGTCATATAGCTAGTCTTCAAGTTTCAAAGACCTTATTTTCTAACTACAATGCAATAGCATTAGAAATAAATAACAAAAATATAAATAGAAAAATGCAATGCTTGAAAATGTTAAGCTTCTAAAAACTAAAAATCTACATTACATATTAACATGGATGAATCTCAAACAATTAAAATAATTAAGTCACAGAAGACTATATAAAGAATGATTCATTTGTTTAAATTACAGAACATTTACTGGTGATAAAACTATAATGTAAAGACAAGGAAATGATTAATAGAAAATTCACTGTAGTGGTTATCTCTGGGTGGTGAGGGGACTGTGAGGGTAGGGTAGAAGATATATAAGGGTCTCTACAGAACTATTAATATTTCATTTCTTGAGCTAGGGCTGGAGTTCTGGGTGATCATTTAAAATTTTTTACATACTTAAAAAATGTTTAATATACTTTCAGATGATAACAGAATTATAATCAGCTATAAAAAAATGTGAGGAGGAGCTCTAACCAGTTTGGCTCAGTGAATAGAGGGTCGGCCTGCAGACTGAACGGTCCCAAGTTCCATTCCGGTCAAGGGCATATACCTTGGTTGCAGGCACATCCCCAGTAGGGAGTGTGCAGGAGGCAGCTGATCGATGTTGCTTTCACATTGATGTTTCTCTCTATCCCTCTCCCTTCCTCTCTGTAAAAAATCATAAAATATATTTTTAAAAAAATGTGAGGAGGGGAAAAAGGAATTAGGTATAACTGTCAGTGAAACTAAAAAGTGATAAGGGTGAACAAGTTGCCACCCATATCCAAGCTCTCTTTCTAGATTATCCAATGCCTCTCCCTGCTTCACTGCTCTGTGATAGTTAGGAAAGGAACAATCTCTCTCATCTAAGGTCTCCCTTATTTCACTTCATGATCTTATCTGTCTTTCCTGATACAGATTATGTTCACTAAAATGTCCACATTAAATCAAGTTTGTAGACACTTGTCCTTATCTTTTCACCCTACAAAGGGTGTGGTGGTATCAAGAAACAGAGTGAGACACTGTTTTACCTGCATGTCACTTTTGGCACCTTTCACAGCATCAAAGAGATCACTGGCTGGTGGCTCTGATTCTTTCTGGCTATGACCACGTATCATTCGAGACCCCTTCTTAGGATATTTTGCCACCTAATAAGTATAAAGAAATAAGGAATATTTTTTAAAAGTGACGTTAACATGTGGTTTCATCATCACATAGGTAGGCTTAAGCTGCCAATTATACAGCAGAGTTTGAGTTACTGCTTAGATCTGAAATAATTTTTATATTGTGAAATTTTTCTCTTAAAAAGCCCCTTAGCCCTATTCTTATTCCTCTGAATCCTAATAACCCTTCTCTTTTATTCTTTTCTCTTCAAAAGTTGCCTTCTTCCTACTCTGTCTCTTAAAACTCTTTTTTTTTAATGTTTTTATTTACTTCAGAGAGAGGACGGGAGAGGGAGAGAAAGATAAAAACATCAATGATGAGAGAGAATCACTGATCGGCTTGCCTCCTGAACACCCCCTACTGTGGAACAAGCCTGAAACCTGGGCATGTGCCCTGACCGGGAATCGAACCGTGACCTCCTGGTTCTTGGGTCCATGGTCTACCTCTGAACCACACTGGCCAGGCTCTTAAAACTCTTTAACAAGTCTTGTCCTTTCATCAAACATATCTCCTGAGCCTCTTTGAGATTTTCTTTAGCTGCTTCCCAGACCAGGTTTGAAAACAAAAAGTTGACTGACTCACAGGGGTTGTTTTGAGTGGTCGTTTTGCTGCTCTCTTCTTCATATTGCGTCTCATGCTGTCTTCAAAGTCACTGCCTTCATCAGCTGACAAAGAATCACTATCCCTATGAGGGAATGTGGTTCTCCTTAAATACAACACCCCAGTTCCTCCACAGGAAAGGATAAATAAATTATAATTTCTTTTTATTTCTAACTGTACCCCCTTCTCCATGAGAAAAATATATTCAGATTTTCTTCAGGAAGACATGAGCTTACTGTTAGCCAGTAAGGACAAATTCTTAAAGGAAAACTCACTTGAATAAAGCAATGGCGATGAAGAATGAGGACCTAAAACCCTTTACTAATAGTCTCTAAATCTATACCAGTATATATAAAAGCCTCAGCGACTGTTACGACCAGTCACTATGACGCACACTGACAATGCAGGAGCCAACCTCCCTCGGCTGGCAAACCCCCCGCCATTCCTCCCCCCGTCCGCAGGCCCGGTCAGACAGGCCCCACCAGGTGGCAGGAGGCCCCCAGGCCCTGATTGGGACTGGGCGAGACAGCCCCGATAGGCCGGCCAGGCCTAGGGACCCCACCTGCACACCCCCTACGTGGAATTTTTATCCCATGTGCACAAATTTTGTGCACCGGGCCTCTAGTAAGAAAATAAAGTGATATTTACTTAAGCAGGCAGAGGGGTCACTGCTGTGTGGAGACAAGTGAGCATGGCTTGGGAAGTCATAGATTACTCATACATAAACAGGAGATTAACATGGGCCTGAAGTTAAATTCCACCCCTTGAAACAAATTCACATGTCTTATTGATTCCCATTAAGTTTATAACATAGATATAACCTGGTTCTCAATAGTAGTACTGTCAGAAACAGAAATGATTTGGAGGAAGTCAACTGAAATAACCTGGGGATAAATCGGATGTTTGCATAGGATTGTTTTTTTCTGGAAAGATTAAAAAAATAACCTTCACAGGAAAAGCTAAAAAATGGTAACAAGTAAGGATAGATGGACCTGTATATAAAATCCCCAAATAAAAGCACTGAAGGACACCAACTGCAAAGTGGTAGTTGCCTAGTACATGTCAGGCAACAAATAAAGAACTCGCGCCTCCCCCTTCCCCTACGTCCCCGCTTCCACCAGGGGCTGTCCACGCGGAATATACAAACGTGTTCCAGAAAGGTTTGCCGAGCTGGGTGACAGAGTCAGACCAGCATGTGTTACTCTCGGTGCCTGCAACATGTAGGACAGATAAAAACAGCCAGCAGCGCTGGACGGGGGCGCTGCTGTGAACCAGCAGAGCACCTTCTACTATCGCGTTGGTAAAACGACAGAGGGGAGAGCTGCCGACGCAGGCGAAAGCCAGACAAGGCAACAATTTTTTGCGCCAACTCCACTCACCCCTCTGAAGTCTGGTCCGAGTCCCCGTCATCCCAGGGCACATTGACATACAAACTGGAGGCAGACAGGCTCCTCTGTCCACCTCCCATGGCTCGCTGCAGTGGGGAGGACATGCTGCCTGAGGAGGAGGAGCTATGGCGCCGGGAGGAGGCAGGGCGAAGGGTAGGCATGGTGGTCCCGCTGGAGGAGGAGGAGAGAGAAAATGGCTCCGACCCTCCCAGCTACCCCTTTTCTTTCCAAGGGAACCGCTGGGAACTTGGGGGGGGGGGCGCGACACACACACAATAGACAGTCTTGACCTAAGGCACCAGGGCATTAAAGACAGACAGACGCAGGCCGGGGGCTGGAGCCGCTGTCCAAGGGCAGAGCAAGGCACGTGCCAGAGCAGCTGAAAGCGGACCCCACTCCCGATTTGGAAGCGCAAACTGCCTGGTGCAAGTGAACCAGCAAACACGCAACAAACAAACACATAAAAATCGAAAAGCACCCAGGCGTTCATTTCTAGGAAGTTAGTACTACTTGATTCCACACGGAATGGAATGGGACATTTTTAACGAATTGGGGGGGGGGGGGGGGGGCATTAGAATAGGGCCAGAAATGCCGAAGGAATAAAGGAAAGTTCCCGTTCTCTACTTTTCCAGCTGATGGTACTTCTGACCCGCCCTGGGGTAAGTTTCTTTGGGCTGAGGAACCTTCTAAACGCTCACGAGACTATCAGTCTTTCAGGTACTGGAAATGGGAGAGGCCACTAAGGCATGGAGGAGGAAGGGGACAGGAGGGCGGGCGGGGA